CTGGACTCTACCTCCTACTCCAGTGATTAGAAACTACAACTCCCAGCAGTACCAGGGAGAGAACTGCGAGGACCTAAGGGCAGAGCTAAGCAGGCATTCTGGGACTTTGGGGCTTAAATATGGCGCCATTTGCTATGGCTCTCTCTCTCCCTTTGGCTCTCTCTCTCTCGCTTGGGCAAAGGCTCTTGGGACCGAGTGACTCAGGACTTTCAGTTAGTTTGTTACCAGCGCTCCAAGTCAGCCTAGCTGGTAAGATATTCCAGTTTGAATCCTTCTTTTTCCCTGGATTGTTTTCTTTTCTCCTTCCTTGGTTCTGGATACCATGTACTCTGTCTGTATTCTCTTCTATAACCTCTGCATGAATCATGGGGGAGTGCCACTGACTTTCTACCTTGTTGTCTGTCATTATAATGTCTGCTATTGACACATAATCTGGGTCCAATGTCCCTCACCCTTGCAGTATCAGGCACACTGATTCCATCCTAGAGGCTCACATCTCATGGGCCCACCTGCCCATTTAGTTATTGTTACCCTGAAACTCTGTTCTCTGTTGCCTCTGTACAAAAACTCTCACAGGTTTAGGTTTCTTTTCCTCTCTGTTATTATACACTCGAAATGCCAGGTCTACTGGCTGGGATGGACTCATCTCAGTAACGCCATCTACCTTTGCTAATTTCCTCCTGATGTCTGGGGCACTATGTGTAATGAATGCCATAGTGATCAGACGAGCATTTTCTGGGGCATCTGGACTTATATCTCTGTGTCTGGCATACGTTTGGATAATTCATTCAAGGAACTCTGATCCTCATTAGCCCTATGTTCAAGCTGCAGAATTTTATTAAAATTCTTTTGTTTGGGAATCCCCTGCCGCAGTCCTACCAATGAACATTTTTTTATAGAGCTCTAACATATCCATATCACCTTCATTGGGGTCCCAGTTGGGATCTACCATCGGGATAGCCACATCTGGTTCTGGGAATTCTACATCCTGTTGGTGGAGGTGATCAGCTTCCTCCCTGGCTGTCTTAAAGACCATCCTTTGCTCATCAGAAGTCAGTAGTGTCTTTAGCATTGACTGGATATCTGCCCAATTAGGATGGTGAGAGAGAAAGGTAAAGGCAAACAAGTTCGCAATCCTCTTAGGATCCTGCCTACAAGAAGGAACAGAGTTCCTCCAATTTAGAGGTTTGCTGTACTAAGGATTGTGTGACCAAAAGTACCCAGCAGGCTGTCCTTGTGCATTTAAACCACCCACTGCCATACGTCTAAGAGGGAACTGCCTGCTTCAAGGCGATTCTTACTTCCAAAAAGAGTGCCCCATCTAGTATGGGAAGGGGAAGGCATGTTAGTTCCTTCTCCAGAGGGCAGTGGAGGCTGTGAAGCATTAGGAGTTTCCACAGGAGACTTAGGAGGGTCTATAGGAGCTTTAGAAATTTACACAGGAGGGGCTTTGATATGCAGGAAACAATGCTTTCCTGAAGGGTTTAAGGTGTCAAGCAAATAATAATCCTCTTTTTCTAACTCCACCATCCTGCAGTCCTCAGGAAAAAGCTTATCACCCCTTCTCCGTGCCATAATATGATCCTGGGCATATCTAATTTATGGAAGGCATCGTGTATCTGGGCTTGCATAACTTGATAAATAGAGTCAAGGGCAATCTGATTCTCATTTTTCATACTGTTTACAACTGAATTAAGGGCTTGCATTTACTGCTGAATGTTTTTAGTAAGAGCCTGAATTTGTTGCAAGTCTGCAGTGGAAGAAGCAGAGCTCCCTCCACTTCCTCTTACAGAGCCATAAATGTAAAAAGTGATATGATAACAGTATCAAGAAGACCCCAGAAGCACAGACTGAAAAACAAGAATGGCTTGAAAATCACCCATAGAGGAGAACAAAAGCAGCAGCATTTGCCATAAACCAGGTTTCACCAGATTATTGATATTTATAAAACTGGTGGTGATATTCAGTGGGAAAATGTACTGAGATTTAAAGCCAGAATAAAACTGAAAGAACCTAAGCTAGGTCAAAGTCATGGTGGTAAACATCAGCAAGCACTGAACACAAAGAGAAAAAAAGTTCTCATGACCCGAAATAAGGAAGCGTGTGGCCTGCAGACCTAATACACTTACGGTTACGGTGACCAATGCGAGGTACTTGAGCTGGTCAACCAAGGCGAGATTGGCATGCCCCACATTGGGCGCCAAAACTATTACAGGGCACCCCAGTGTGAACTGGGCAGCCTGTCTGTGGGTGGGGCCTCACCTGTAAGCTCACAATTCAGTTGTACTGCAGACACACACAAAAGTGTCAATAATGGGGTTTTTTTTTTACAAAAGGGGAAAAGAAAAGGAAACAACCCAGGGAAAGAGAGGGGTACAAAGTAAATGGAATATCTTACCAGCTTGCTGACTTGGAGCTCTGGTAACAAACTAACTGAAAGCCTGAGTCACTGGGTCAGGAGAGAACAGACAGAGTGGGGAGAACTGAAAGTACACTGCTGAGGACAGCTGAGGGCAAGGCAGGAGAGGTCTGCCACACCATGTGGGTCACCTTCTTGGCAGGGTCTCGAACTTGCACAAAAGCAGCTGTGGCTAGCTTCCCAGTGCTGCATTTTAACCTGTTGCACCACCAGGAAGGGCCAGAAAATGTCCATTTTAAAAGTGTTAATTCTTTCAGTTCATGGGCAGGGAGTATTTTTCCATTTTTTTGTCTTTATTATTTTTTGCATTATCTTACAGTTTTCATTGTAAAGATCTTTTACCTCTTTTGTTAAGTTTATTCCTATTAATACTTTTCAATGTAATAGTAAATGGGCTTTTCCCCTTGATTTATTTTTATTCTAGTTCATTGTTTTCATTACAGGACTGAATTAATTTTTAATTGATTTTATAATCTGCCTGCCACCTTATTGTTAATTTATTATTGTGATTTTTTTAATGGAATGTTTAGAGTTTTCTGTATATGTTAATTACCTGTAAATAGCAGTCATTTTAATTTTCCAATTTGAGTTCCTCATGTTTCTCTTACCTAATTTTTCTAATACTATGTAAAAAAGTAGTGGAAGTTAGCATCTTTGTTTTGTGCCTGATCTTAGAAAAAAATTAGTTTGTCCTAATTAAGTATGATGTTAACTGTGGGTGTGACACAGGTGACCTTATTGTGTTTACCTATCTTCCTTCTATTCCATTTTTGAGTTTTTTTCTTTATCACAGTAAATATTAAACTATACCAAATGGTTTCTTTGTATATTGATATGATCATATGATTTTTCTTTCTTTTATTGATGTAAGTGAATGAAAGTGATTTACACATGTTGAACCCTCCTTGCTTCCACTTAATTATTATGCATAATGATTTAATGTGTTGTTGAATTAAATAATTTCCCTTAAAAAGAAGATTGCTGAGAGATCTTTATGCAGTCATTTTAGGATCGTCTCATATGCATTATCTACCTAAGAAGAATAAGCCATTCTTCATTAAAAAAAAAAAAAAAGTATAGAATTGGTTTGCTAATTTCCATAAAAAGATCCCTCCTATTATTTAAATGGAACTTGTTGAATCTATAACTAAATTTGTGGAAAATTGCTATTTTAATTAAGACAGATTTTTAGCTTTCTCCTGAATACACAACCTTAGCATATATTAATTAGATCATTAATATTGTAACTTACCTATGTTATTGATGTCAATGTGTCCAGTCTCTTTTAATCTTTCAAATTGACAAAATGATAATTTTATTGCACAGAGGTAGACTTTGTTTAGATTTAAACTTATTCTTTTCTTTTTGGGAGGATGGGGGTATACTTACTGTTGCTCCTTAAAATTTGGTCTTATTCTATAATTATTTTTTTCTCCTGAAGTTTATTCTTTACAGGAGATTTTAGTGAGCATTTTTGATGATAAACCATTTTTTCATTCAAATTCCATTGCTTGAGAGTTAATTTATTTGTATATAAAATTATTGATAGTTATTTTCTTACATCATTTCAAGGATATTTTCCTTTGCAATTTTAGTGGTGAATAATTTTAGGCACAAATATCTTAGTCATCTTTAACAGTGGTCTCTTCCTTTTCTCTGCTTTTTGCTTTTATTTTTTCATAATATTTACTTTTTTGCTCTTTCTCTACTATGTAATAAAGCTTGGACTTCTTTTTATATCCCTTATTTGCAATTCTCTGAGATTGCTGAGTTTCAACTGATTTCCAATTATTGGAATTTCTCAGCTTATTTTTCTTTTAATATTTTCTCTCCCCAATGCCTTATACTATGTCCATAAGTGTCTAATTTAGATTGGACAGACATAAAATAGAAATTTACTTATTCAATAAATATTTTTTTTAATAAAAAGGGACTTTAATACAGTAAATATACAATACGGAACACTTGTTTATTATGAAAAATTACATCGATCATGCAGTGACTGTAGGTAGTTTTATACTGCTGAGAATTAACCCTGTGCGCCACCAGATTAAGTCGGTCACATGTGTAATACATATTACTAGAAAACACAGATGATGCAATTTCCTATTTAGTATAAAAAGGAAGAAAAAAGTCTTATTAGTAAGTCTTATTAGGAATCTAGTAATTCAATCTTTTAAAAGATTGAACAAATCTTATTTCAAATGTGTCTGTCATTTTTAGAAAACATGATAAAAATATTTTATGTTGCCTATTTTTCTCATCTAAATAACATGGTACATAGAAGTTTATCACAATGTGAGAAATTACTTTCTATGTTAATTGAATACATTTTCATCTTTAAAACCCAAAGAAAATTTTGTGATAGCCTATTTTGCTAAGCAATGCTGGCTCCCCCAGGAATATATTACCTATAACCAAATTTAGAATATCCAAAAGATTATTGCTGGACAATTCTGATTTTACTTATTTTGTGGCTTATTTCAACTCCAGTTGTGTTGATGACTGCTCAGGATTCTGAGACGTGAAAGTTAGAGCTCGTATCTGCACCTCTTTTTGCCCTTAACTATTCAACTCTCAGATATTGACCAGTGGAACAAGGTGATTGAACAACTAGGAACGCCATGTCCAGAATTCATGAAGAAATTGCAACCTACTGTAAGAAACTATGTGGAGAATCGGCCCAAGTATGCAGGACTCACTTTCCCCAAGCTCTTCCCAGATTCCCTCTTCCCAGCGGACTCTGAGCACAATAAACTCAAAGGTAGGACCATCAAGGACGACCAAGACTACTACCTGGGCCCGGGACTAACAAGGAAGGGATGTTGAGCCCACTTTTTAATTTGAACCACCCCAGTTTATGGAGAGGTATTCCTTAAATTATTTTTCTTAAAAAGGTGGAAGTACCAGGGATTTCTAGAATTACTTGGATATTCAGAAGGAAAGAGTAATAAAATGTGTGGGTTATGTAATTCTTATGGCTTATCTAGGACTTTAAAATTATTTTGAAGTGGCATTCTAAAAGACCAACATACTATACATTTAAATTATTGTTTCAATTTAGTAAATGCAGACTTAACTTGAAAATTTAATTATAGCTAATATAGGTATAAGTGAGACAGGGAAACTAAAAGGAGGTTCTATTTCCCAGGATTTTATTGCATCCTCCAACCTTTGCTTCCTTTTGTTACAGTTGTTTGTTCTACCAACTGCTTCTACCGGTCTCTGAATGGCAACAGAGTAAATCATTAGTAATGTATAGTTTTTAAGATCAGAGCTACCTAAATGAAGATGAAAAAACACCTAAAACCTTAAGTAGAGATAGTAAAGAATTTGTATTCGATAATTGATGATTGACATGTGGGGTAGAAGTAATCCTTTGGCATGAAGACATTTGTAGTATAACAGTACTGGTATCACAAAGCCCTGATTAAATTAACATTTAATGATGATGATGACAGAACCTGTAGAAAATGTACTAAATAATTACCATGCTTCTAATATAATTTTTTTGAATTATTTCTTTGCTACTTAATTTGATTTGAGCCTCTAGGGATAGAGTGCATTTGCAAATGAGTACTACTTTGCACATGTATAATTATTTAACTATATTTTAATATATAATTGGCAGATTATGATTATATAAATAATCAAAAGGAAGAATTTATTCTACTATAATTGAAGAATAGAAAAAGACATCTGCTTCAAATGAAATAAAGATAAGAAACTGAAACGTTTTCCTTCCCCTATTTGTTCCCTGCAAACGGTATAATCTTTGTTAATGAGATGTTTTGATATTGGTATAGTTCATGTTCCTATTGCTGAAGGGCTCACATGGAAGTATTTGAGTCATTGGTGGGCTTATGGGAGTTTTTGTGAAAGGGGGATCTGTGAATTTGGGTATAAAAGTTAAAAATCAAGAGATAGTTGGACAAATGAAATCTAAACACAGACTCACTGAACTACTAGAGGTCATTGACAACAAGAATTAATTTTTAAATATTAAAAACAATGTGTTATATAAAAAATGTGTTATTTTTGTTCTTGCTATGACTTTCAAGGTGTCGTTTTGTAAGTAGAAAAAAAATTTCTAGAATCAAGACCCCAGCAAAATTATTGATAGAAATAAAATGTCTCTAATTCAATTAATTCTTTGGTAAATAAACAAATAAATGTAATGTAAATAATACAGAGAAAATATATTTATTAAAATGTCATAAGAATGGTATGGGACAGGCAAAAAATAGATTTCTGTGTACTAACTTTAGCATCATCAACATTATGCTAAAAAATAAATAAGTATAGAAAACAATATACCAGTAAAGAGACTGATAGCCTTTAGCTGGCAAGAAGCTTTTTTCCTGGTTATGTATTCTATAAACTTAAAACAGTTCTAGAGATTAAATTGTACATTAGCAATGTTATTAAATAAATAAACTTACTGATTATGTAATTTTATAGCAACTACACCCCATGGTCATAAAATTTACCATAAAAACATGATCATGGGCCCTCCCTGGTGGCGCAGTGGGTTAAAGCACAGCACTGAGAATCTGAAGCCACTTCCGCATGAGTTCAATTCCCGCCTGCCCCGGAGGAGACCACATGGCGAGACAGAACTCTCCTGACCCGCCCGCTGCTTCCCTCAGCAGTGTACTTCGTCGATCTGCCTGTTCTGCTCCCCACTCTGTCTCTGGTGAAGCCTCTCACCACCCCTGAGCCTCTGGCCTGTACCCCAGTTCTGTATGAATAAATAAATAAATCTTTAAAAAAAAAAAAAAACATGATCATGTAAAATTTTCCATTTTGTAGTGTAGTTTCAGAAAGGTTCAGTCTCTACCTAGGCACTTTCATCAAATCTGATTCCTTTCAAAAAGCAATTCCCCATGATTACAGAAATAGTTTAATAAAATTCAGTAGCTAAATAATACTCTTGTTTGAAATATTTATTTTTAACTGAGGTAGTATTGAGGGAGGTACCTCCATCAGGTGTTAGCACTGCAGTGTCTGCACCACCAACTCACCCATGTTCCACCCCTTAGGCCATTGTACCCTCATTTCTCTGTTTTTTCTCTCCTCACCATAGTGTTTCAGTTCTGTAGTCAGCTATCAAGAGTTAGTTTTTCAGCTTATCTCTATCTATTATTTTAGCCACATTTTTACACATTTTGAATAATATTATTCTTATCACATCCACTCCTCTGATTTTTTTCTTATTTATCTAAGGAATTCAGACTACATGACTTCTAAAGTTATTTGTCTTGCTCAAATTCTGCTGATTCAGGGCCCTCTCTGGTGGTGCAACGGGTTAAGGCCATAAAGCCATAAAGCTATCTGTAGCCACTGCAGCACTAGTTTGATCCCCAGCCAGGGAGGTGACCCACATGGCATGGCAGACCTTCCTGACCAGCCTGCTGCTCCCCTCAGCAGTGTACTTTGTCAATCTGCCCGTTCTGCTCCCTGCTCTGTCTCTGATGAACCCTCCACACACCCACACCTCTGGCCTGCACAACAATTCTGTATTCATAAATAAATAAATCTTTTAAAAAAATTCTACTGATTTAGCATATGAATGAAAACAGAAAAATAGGTGTGGATCAACTTCAAACAGTCATTCATGTACTTGTTGAGTATTGTATATTTGTATTTCCTTTGCTCTCTAGTCTGTTTATATTTTGTTTATTCTTATCTTACTCAAGATTACGTTGAGTACATACTCAGACTTGTGTACTCAGTGTATTTTAATCTTAAAGAGATCCAAACAAACACATAGGCATAGAGGCATAGAGAAAAGGTGCACTATTCATTTCTTTTTCTAGCATGTCAAGAATTTTACTTTACGTCTGAAAGAAAGGTGTTGCTTGATCTTTGTTTACTTAGTTTCCTATCCATCAAGCAAGTGTGATTGTCAAAAATAAAAATTTTACTAATTGTTTTTCTCCATCATTTCAGCCAGCCAAGCCAGAGACTTGTTGTCAAAGATGCTAGTGATTGACCCAGCAAAAAGGATATCAGTGGATGACGCCTTACAGCATCCTTACATCAATGTCTGGTATGACCCTGCCGAAGTGGAGGCGGTAAGGACATCACAGGCTTACTCTCCTTTCCTTCCAAAATAGACACAGTGCTGAGTATTGAAAAATGAAAGCAAACTGAATCTGTTACAGGGCACTCCAATTTGAATTGGGTTGCCTGTCTGTGGGTCTTCAGTTGCGCGCTTACAATTCAACCTTATTATGGACACACTCAAAAAGGTTAAATAATGGATTTATTTATAAGGAGAAAGGTAAAGGAATAACCCAGGGAAAAAGGGAGAGAAATACAAATTAACTAGAATGTCCTACCAGTTCTGCTGACTTGGACTCCACCGGCACGCTGAAAACCGATTGAGAGCCAAAACGATGAGCTGCCGAACCACCAGGCCAAGAGACCCCCAGAGCCCACATGTCCGGTTTTATCCCAACCTGGCTGCTCAGCTCCGCCCTCACGTCCCAGCGTGCTTCTCCTTGGTACTGATGGGATTAATATTTCCAGTATCTGGAGTGGGGCGGAGTCCATGAAACCTGTACCTGTTACAAACCCAACGCTCATACAAAGGGCCTTCATCACAAATTACCATAACAAAATTACTACTTTCCCTGTAAAAGTTAAGTGTTCTTCTTTTCCAGGATTTTCTGTAAGAATGGCAATTTAGCCCAACAAGCCTTTCTGCCCATGAAACACTTCCATTTATTTTGCAAAGTTATTTACATCCCCAGAGTGCATTCTATATGTTTAACTCTCAGCTTCTCCTGGTGCAAGCTAAGTAACAGAAATAACAGTTAAAGGATAATTTGTTTTCCTCTGTTTCCTTGATATTATACCTGCAACTAGTGAAGTATGATACTCAGATCACTTTGATTATTGAGCTTTTACCAAGTCATTGGTGACTTTGAAAACTTGTGTGAATTAGATGAGAAAAACTGAGTTTTCTAATAAGGACATTATTTCTGGTTGACTCTAAATTGACTATAAAAGTAAGATGTATCTCTGTATTTTAAATCTAGACATACTTTAATACTCTCAGAAGCATAACCAAGTCTTTTATCTTTGGCTTTTATTTTCGGGGCGGGGGGGTGGGAGGGGCAGAACTGCATAGGGATTTGGTTGCCCTGCATTTTCTGTAGGCTCTATGCTGGGAATGTCCTTTTGTCTTTCTTGTAAATAATACTACCAGCAATTCTACTCAGTTCCCCATTCCTAGAATAGCTGTGCTAAATTGTCTCATTTTCTTACAGATACTACCATCCCATTGAATTGTTTGAATTGACACTTAATTCTCTATTTGAAATTCTCTTTTGTTGTCTTGTCCCTTTCCCTGTGCCCCAAGGTGTTCTTGCTCAAGTGCATCTTTGTGTTTTTCCAGCTGCTTTTCTTCTGCTTCTTTGTGTGCTTGTCCATGTCAGAGCTGCTAGATTCAAGCTAATATGCTTTCTATCCCTTCCTTCCTCCTAGAAGAGGTCTCACAGTTGCAAGTGAGGACTATTCAGAATTTAATGTTATAGACATGATATTCAACAAGCTACTTTTCATAATGTAACTCAATGCTTAAGAGCATTCAAAAAACTTTGGCGAAAATACACCAGAGATAAATGAGACCCTGGTGTGGAAAAGGAGGTGTAAAACCTCTGTGTTAACATTTTCTTACAATTATCTTTTTCAAGCTCTTTTAAAATGATGCTGAAATTTCAGTTGTGCTTTGCATTAATTTTCAAATACCAATTGCCTGATTGGTTCAATCTTCCCCTTCAATGGAGTAGTCTCAATTTTATTCTTACATAATAAAATTCTTAAAATTAAATATTTCCCAGTTTAATTATAATCTCTTAAAGTTAGTAGGTGTTCTTGCCACTATTAGAACCTCTTCTAGCCTTCACCTTTAGGAGACACTTTTTTCTTTTTAATACTTATTTATTTGTGCATACAGAACTGGGGTACAGGCCAGAGGCTCAGGGGCGGTGAGAGGCTTCACTAGAGACAGAGTAGGGAGCAGAACAGACAGATCAATGAAGTACACTGCTGAGGGGAGCAGTGGGCGGGTCAGGAGAGGTCTGCCACGCCATGTGGTCACTTCCAGGGCAGGCAGGAATCAAACTCATGCGGAAGTGGCTTTAGCTTCTTAGTGCTGTGCTTTAACCCACTGCACCACCAGGGAGGGCCACAGAAGACACTTTCATAGATGTTTTGGGGGAAGAATGAAATGATGAAGTAGCTAAGAAAAACCATGAGATATATGTATATGAAAATTAAGTGTGAGAATTATTTTCTCTGAAGATTTTTTAGAAAATACTTTAGGTTATACTGAGAAAAGTTGTAAATGAGCATAATTTAATTATATATGTTGCTGCCTGGTTGCTTTGATACTATAAATCATGTGAGATATTTATTTTTCCTTACATCTAATTTAGTGCATGTAATCTGTCTTTAATGGATTGTAGCCTAGAGTTTAATTGAAGTCATAAAGTCTGCATTTGTAATTCACTTGTAATTATGTTGCCCTTAAAACAGTTGTTTAGAATCTCTAACAACTTACTAATGCATATTATGGATAATTTTTAAAATTTATTTTAAATTTCTATAAAAATTTTCTTTGAAAGGTAAAAACTGAAAACTTAGGATACTGAAATAGCTAGACTTTTTCACAACTTCAATACTGTAATGCTGGGGCATGAATGGAAACAGCACAAGATATGTACATTCTAGGAGAATAATCTGATAGAACTTGGAAGTTTGGGAGAGTGGGGTCAGTTACTACACAGAAGGACAAGTAGGTGTCTGACATGAATTGATTATGCAAGGGTGAACGTATTTTGCAACTAGAATGTTGCCACAAGTAGGCTGGAATCCTGTTCCTTACTCTACAAAATGTAGTATAGTATAGGGCCCTGGTGGTGCAATGGGTTGAATCGCAGCACTATGAAGCTATCCACAGTCACTGCAGCGTAAGTTTGGTCCCCGGCCAGGGAGGGAACCCACATGGTGCAGCAGAACTCTCCTGGCTCACCCGCTGTTCCTATCAGCAGTCTTCCTGTTCTGCTCCCCACTCTGTCTCTGGTGAACCCTCTCCTCCGTTCCCCTGTTCCCCCACCTCTGGCTGGTAGCCCGGTTCTTCTATGCATAAATAAATAAATCTCTAAAAAAGTAAAATGCAATGCAGAGGTCATATATAGGATGATATGGACCCTAAAGGCACTAGAAACAGTAATCAGCTATGTTTCCTGCAATATCCTTGGAATTAGTGCTTCTGTTATTGCATGTGAATATATATTTAAAATAAAAATGATCTTTATTTTTTTCAGACATATAGTCAAAGCTGTAATGTTTTCTACAAGGACTGATAAGATTACTTGAAAGTATAACTCCAGCATGTCTTTATAGTCAAAGTAAATGAAAGCATGAAATAATCAGAATGTCCATGATTATAAGTCATCTAAGTGAGGCAAGCTGAAGCATCGCTTAAGTAAATCACTCACATGATATTAATAAGGAAAGAAAACTCAAAGATGAGAGAAAGAAAGATAAGTTTCATTGGTGGAGAGTAGCCACAAGTAGAGAGAAATAAAACAGTAACTGTTAGAAGACTATGCTCTCTTTGGGAAAGTCCAAAGGAGAGTGGAGGAATGTTATGTGTACTAACCTATTAATAACACTACAAGCTATATTAGCAGGTTTCCAGTAGTTATGTGGACTAAGAAATCTGGGAATGTTTTGCTTAGGAATATAAGGAAACATGTCACTCTTAGAGACCAACGGAAAGGTCTGACTATCCAACCAGCTTGAGTAGAGCATGATTCAAGTTGATAGGCCAGTTCTGAGTTTATTTATTATTTCTTACTTCAATATTAACTTGGGAGATTGGGGCAGGACTGGGCAGGAATTTAACCTACTATAAAAATACTGAATAAAACCACCTAGCCTTCAGATTCCCAGTGAGAGTATAATCTGAGAAAGAGAGAAACACTTACATGTATTAGTGCCTGTAGTTCAATTCAAATAAATAATGAGAAACCATAAAGCTATACTAGTTAGAAATTTAAATATTTACTAGTTGTTTATGACATGAGGTAATTATAGGCTCTTAAAGTTTTGCTGATATCTTATTTTCTATTTCATTACCTTAGTGATTGTTATTTTTCCCTGCACTGAATGGATTTATAGGAACAAGTTGACCTGACTCTATTAAGCTATTTTATCACAAGGTCATTGGGGATTTTATACACTTTGAGCAATTATTGTCTGACATTATTTTAACCATGTTCTTGGCTGCCATTGTAGCTTATTGGTCATTACCAAAGAGAACATGAGATATTCAGCCATGCAGGAAATGCATGTTATTTTCAATCTTCTAGTGGTGTGATATGAAGATTTTAATGTCTAGTATGTCTGGAGGTCTGTTCAAGGTAAATCTTTAAGGAGAGCTTAGAGATCATATGGCATGGTTTGTGCTGCTGTTCAGTAATGATTAATGTTCAGCATATTAGTGCTACAGCTTTGAGCAGTTATATGGACAAAGTACCAAAAGTCATGATGAGGAAAGCAGAATAGGCCAGGCATGGAATCAGAAAGGACTGTACATAGAATCAAAAGCTTGTGGTCAGAATAGTATAGGCTGCTGAGCTTGGTCTGAAAATTTCAGATTGAGAGCTGATATGGATAGATGGTTCAAACAGGGCAGGTGGTTAAACCATTTCAGTAGAGGTACGTGCCTTAGTCTCAGAGGTCTGAGTAGATGTCACACTAAAGGACATTTAAATAATGGTAAAGTGGGGAGGTTTTCTGATTGGCAGTGCAAAAGTCAAGAGCAAATATTCTTGGACCAACCCAGAACTTAGCAATGGTTGGAAGCTACCACTAACCCTAGAGTGAGGAGATGATTTACTCATGGAAACTAGTTATGAAGGCACAGGAGACACAGCTGCTTCTGAAGAGAGAAATGGAGAGAAATGACCAAGGCTTCTCCCCTCCAGTTTCCTAGTAGAGATCAACCCTAAATCACTAATAGGTGAACCTGGAAAAAAATCATTAGGCATCAGCTCCC